GCCCAAAATGATATGGATGGGATATCAAAACAGTCTGCTGCAGACTACTCCTTGCGCTCATTCATGTCCTATAACAATATATACAGCTCCCATACCACTCATTCAACATGAACTTCATCCATGGCCGGCACTTCTATTGTCTAAGTTTATTATTGCCCAGTGGAGTAACTCAGTCTCTAATTTCCAAGAGGACCACCATTGGTTATGATGCCTTTTAAGCTGCTGCTGCTGCAATTGCCCATTATTGGGCAGGGACAAAGAAACCATAGGAGATTCTCTGATTTCCAGATATATACTTACTGGTCCTCATTATGTAGCATCAACTCTATATCCTATGATAATACAAGTCATTTTCCCTACCGGTATAGTATGCTAGGGGAGTATTGCTATCTTTGCCTCCCTGTCTCCTGTGATGAACTTACTGTATCGCTTGACAGATGCCTGTTAATGGTCCCTCTAAGAGCCCAGTTGCATTCCAGAAGCTGGATTCTGAACGATCTAGGTCTCTGCTGCAGAGAACATGGTCTGCAGAGAACCAGAAACCTAGGGATCTCTGCTGCTAAATTCTTGGACTTTTCTTTGGAAAAAATTTCAGAAATGAAACTTAAATGCTCATTTTATTGCTCTTGCTCTGTCTTCTACTCAATACTAGTGGTCTTCAGAGTCAATAAATGTGTTACTAATGCCCCCAATATCCTAAGAGGCCCACCTAGCACTGTGTATCTTTCTTAGAGATAAGAGTTATAAGAAACAACAACTTATTCTTTATCTTAGATGGGATATGCTAGATCATTGTACCTCTATAATATTCACTAATAAGGAAATCCCCTGTATTTCTGCAGGGTTTATTTTAGACCCTACGGTACTTTACCATAGTTCTTTCCATTGCTTGCTTCCTGAATATGATCTTAAAAATGTCATCGGTGTAAGAGAACAATTTGAGATTTGGTAGAATATCCAGATGATCAAGTTTACTTTGCACTATATTGTAACAAAGAGCAAGAAAATAATTACAGCTATAATATAAAACAATGAAGGTGTAATGCTGTCCACTTCAAAGGAATACAAACTGTTTTGCTCCTCTTCCTTCTTAGGAATGAAAAGAACACATTCACCAAATCAATAGCTACATGAAAGTGCTAGAGGCTTTGTTGATTTGTTCTAGTACCAAATCCATATTCAGCATATCAGCTGAGAGTGGGGCTATCCCTTGGTTAGCTTAAGACTGTATTCTACCATTTGCAAATCTTCAGGATTTTTGGTGAAACAAACAGCGGTATGACAAGACTACCACACCCGTAGTCTAATCACTGCCATTCAACTTGAGATATCCATTGCTTCTGATTTTCTATGTGGGTCACAGATGTGTGTGTGGCCTTCCTTACAGTGAAAGCTTGACTCTTACTCCACAGCTAGCCAGTGTGAGGATTCTGTCAGCTGCTAAGTGTGTTTATCTTAATGACAAACCCATGACTAGAAAAATGATCAGTGATTGGTTCTCATACCCTTTGGATCCACTGTAAAGCAAACTTGAGGCAAAAATGCATTTATCATCTGACCTGTGTGTTCCCTGCCTCTAATGGAGGGTCATAATGGTGTTTTATGTTCCTCAGTACTGCTTCCATTCCTAATATATCTATTAGCCCTTGGAAGATATATTGCAAGTCAGAAAACCAGATTGTGATTTTCCACTGTGGTAACTGACATTAGCATTCTGCTCATCAACTGTTTATTGTTTCTGATATTTAGTCAAATAATGACCTCATTGGCTGCCCATCTCCTTACCCCTAATAACATAATGGTTTATGCACCCTCGTCACATATTCCCATGTATTGATGGCCTCCTGCTGGCCATTCCAATCTTGCCCGCTCATTATAGTAATTGCATACACCTTGCTGTTGACAATTACATGCTGCTATGTGGCTTCTGGTTCTCTTGAATCCAATCATCTCCGTTGATGGTATAGTTTAAATTGCTGTATCTGCCTCTTTTGAGGTCATTTTCTTCCCACAAAGCCATCCTAACCAACTACCCTCCTATGACCACATTAAATTCACTTCTTTGTCATAAAGTTCTCTCAGATCCTCCAGCCAGAATTGGTTGCGCTTATGTTTTTCCCATTTTTTAGTTTGTACTGGATTATCACATCTTCTCAGGGCCTGTATTAGAGGCAGTGTGTGTTTCACTGTAGTATAAGATCCTTTAGTACAGAAACTTGGTCAAGTTTATCAATTTATACCTTGAAGTCTTCTTCCTACAGCCCTTCCTCCTTTTAGGAATGGTTTAAGTCATCTGAATAAAATTAATGCGTGATTTGAGAAAATAGGAAGTGTATAGTACAAAGATTCTGGATGCTTATATGTTTCAATAATTAATATTTGATTAATTTGTAAATCCTAGAAATTGACAATAAGAACAATTCAGAATTGTGATTCTTTAGATCTATCTAAGGCAGGGACTAAGGTATATTCTATAAAAATGTATTTACTATGCATGAGAATCTCATCCCTAAAGAATGACAAGTCGAATGGAAATTTATTCATTTTAATGAAACAATTGATATGTCTTACACAAAAACCCTTCTGCATCTAGTGTATTACATTTTCCAGTGACTAATTTAAATAAAGTAACATGGATAAAGTCCTTGTAATGGTCAGTTTATATATATACATATATATAAATGTATCTATGGATATCTTGAAATGATTAGAGAAAGAACATAACAATAGTGATTTCTTTACATTAGCAATTCCATTCTAGTTTATTTTATCTGAAGATCTCCAAGGCTTTACAAACATTAACATCTCCCTCTTATCCAGTGAGATAAGTATCATTATCCAAGTTTTATAGTGAAGTGATGGAGGCACAAAGAGATTAAATGATTTCCTCAAGGTTACCGCCAGTTATGACAAAGTAAAGGATAGAAGTTAGATTTATGAATCTCAGTCTTATACTTTAACTATCCTTGGGCTCTGTGTATTTGTCACCAAAGATATCCAGATAAAAAACACTGAGAACACAGTAAACAAAGACCACAGAGGTAAAAGCCAAATATTTGGATATTCAACATCAAATTGATTAAATAGGAAAAAGCATTAAATACACATCTGGAAAGCTAACTTTATTATAAAGAAGGTGATCCATAGTTTGTAATTAAACAAAGCTGGATGAGACTTTATTACTTCATATGCCAGCAAATTGGTATGTAAGAGTATAGGACTGTGCTTCAAGAAAAGCCTAAAAATATGTATGTCTCTATATTTACATCATTTGGAACTAATTAATGTGGCCTATGGTAATCTATACACCTAATAACTATATCTGGGTAATATGTTTTCTTTGCGATTTGTTTTTAACAATCTATCGTGTCAGATTAAAAGGTTAAATTACTTTTCTAAGTGACCTCTATGTGAAGTAAGAATTGTATTGTGAAAGCAGAACAGAATTTTTTCTTTTGTTCTGGTAAGTCAGGCAAAAGAATTACCACTGTACAGATTACCTAAGTATTCATAAGTCAATACCTGTATTATGTATTTGTTTTATCTACTGATTGTTTATAAGAAATAACATTGATCTCAGGTAACCATTACAAAGTTCTAGGCATTCTTTTCGTTGAAACTGTATGTCTGTGCCTCTTGAAGACAATCCAGTTACTTTGGTTTTAATATGCAAGGATCTGAGAGTATATTTGTTTCTCTGTGCACACTTCCTTGTGATAGATATTTTTTAAAAGATAGAAAAAAGTTTGTATCTACTCCCTGCAACTCTTCTCTTTGATCTCTCAAGAGAGGAAATGTAGTATATTTGAAATTCACAAGTTTTTGTGATTCAATCATTCCTCCTACTGAAATTTTTGACAAATTGTTTTTTTAAATAAATTGCTCTCGGGAGTGGGGAGGGCATTATTATTCAATGACCTTCAAAAACTCAACAGAGAATAATATTTACATAATGTAATCTCACTGCTGATCAGGCTTGAGTCCCATGATTTGATCAAGTAAGTGGAGGTTCTCTTCATCCCTTGACTAGAGGACACATACACTGATGCCTTCCTCTACTTATTCTACCTATCAAACTCCTGCTCCACCTCAAGATAAAGTAGATTCTACCTATTTTCTTTTTTAAAGATTATTTATTTGTTTGTTTGAGAGAGAGAGAAAGAGAGTGAGTGAGAGAGAGCACACAAGCAGGAGCAGGAGAGCAGCAGAGGAAGAGGGAGAAGCAGACTCCCCGCTGAGTAGGGAGCCAGATGTGGGGCTCAGTCCTAGGACCCCGGGATCAGGACGTGAGCCGAAGGCAGATGTTTAACTGACAGAGCCACCCAGGCACCCCTGGATTCTGCCTATTTTCTTAAAGCTTACTTGATTGCTTTAGAACATGCTCTCCGTTAATACATACTGCATTTTTATCTATCTGTCTCTCCAATAGACTATAAATTTCCTTATTTCAAGTATGGTATCCTTTTCATATCTCTACAGGCATACCTCAGAGACATCACCTGTTCAGTTCCAGATTACTACAATAAAATGAATATTGTAAACAAGCAAGTCAAATAATTTTCTTCCCCTGTGCAGAGAAGTGTTTACACTAAACTATACTGCAGTCTAGTAAGAGTTCAGTAGCATTATGTCCAAAAAAATATGTATTATAAGGGAAATACCTTATTGCTAAAAATTACTAACCATCGTCTGAACTTGCAACAAGACATAATCTTGTTGCTGGCGGGGGGTGTTCCTTCGTGTTGATGGCTACTGATCAGGGTGGTGGTTGCTGAAGGCCAGGGTGTCTGTGACAATTTCTTAAAATAAGACAGCAATGAAGTTGACTCTTCCTTTCATGAGTGAATTCTCTGTATAGATGATGCTTACATTTCATGCACAGTAGAATTCTCTCGAAATGGGAGATAATTCTCTCAAACTCTGCTGCTGTTTTATCAGCTCAGTTTGTGGACTATTCTAAACCCTTTCAAAAATCCTTTCAACAGCCCTTTTGGCCGGAACCGCCATCTTCCAGTAATTTGCCAAAATGGCCAACACAAAGGGAAAGAGGAGAGGTACCCGTTACATGTTTGCTAGGTCTTTTAGAAAACATGAAGTTGTTCCTTTGGCCACATACATGCGAATCTACAAGAAAGGTGATATTGTGGACATCAAGGGAATGGGCACTGTTCAAAAGGGAATGCCCCACAAATGTTACCGTGGCAAAACTGGAAGAGTCTACAATGTTACCCAGCATGCTGTTGGCATTGTTGTAAACAAACAAGTTAAGGGCAAGATTCTTGCCAAGAGAATTAATGTACGCATTGAGCATATTAAAGATTCAAAGAGCCAAGATAGCTTCCTGAAGCGTGTAAAGGAAAATGATCAGGAAAAGAAGGAAGCCAAAGAGAAAGGTATTTGGGTTCAACTGAAGCATCAGCCTGCTCCACCCAGAGAAGCACATTTCATGAGAACCAATGAAAAGGAGCCCGAACTGCTGGAACCCATTTCCTATGAATTCATGGCATATAAATATAAAGAAAATAAAAGACCTCAAGACTATAAAAGAAAAAAAAAATCCTTTCAACAATCTTCACAGCAGCTTCACCAGGAGTAGATTCCAACTCAACAAACCACTTTCTTTGCTTGTCCATAAGAAGCAACTCCTCATCGTTTAAGTTTTATCATGAGATTGCAACCAATCAAATATAATAATGAAAACTTTGAAAAATGTGACACAGAGACTCAAAGTGAGCCAAGGCTGTTGGAAAAATGGTGTCAGTTGATTTGCTTCACACAGGGTTGTTACAAACCTTCAATATGTAAAAAATGCAATATCTGAGATGCACAATAGATGCACAATAAAGCACAATAAAACAAAATAAGCCTGTATAATTATTACATACAAATCCATAAGTGCTACAACTACTAAGTGTTATTCTAAGTTTGCAGAAATGAAAAACAGTCTCTTCCCTTTGGGAGATAGAGATCTCAAAGTTTAGCAGAGAAGACAGACGAGAAAAATATCTAAATAGCAATATAACAAGCCCAAATAGATGTTATTATTTGAAGCCATACCCTAAGGGAGTCAAGGAAAGCTTCCTACAGTAGATGACTCCTAAATTCGGTGTTAAGGAAGAATTAGGCATGAACCAAGCAGAGGATGAATGGAGGGGAGCGGTCCAAACAGATGGGACAGCATGAAAGACCACTTTGGGTTATAAACTAGTAAAGGCAGATACAGAACTTAAATTTTGAGATCAGGTTAAGAAAAGTTGAGATTGAAACAGAAGTCGCAGATACCAGACCATGGAAAGGATCTTAACCTGGGCAACCACATATTTCCATCTACCAGGTTTTTGCCAGTTATGCTGACACAACTAGAAATAGCATTCCCCTTAACTCGTATGTGTCCCACTTTGGACAGTAAATTCTAAGGTCACTGTAATTTAAGACTATCTCCTGATTTTTTTTTTTATTGAAAATAGTTAGGAGCCTTTGAAAGATGTTCATAAATATTGATTGATAAGGTCAGTAAACCATTTAGAAAGACTAATCTGGCACCTGGAAGATGACATCCAAGGGAGTGAGATTAAGGCCATAAAAACTAGTATAGAGCCCCCAAAACAAACCAAGTGAGAAATGATACAGACCTGAATGGTAGTGATGGTAAACAGGGTCGTAGAGAAGAAATCATTTCAAGAAGTGTTTAGGAAGTAAAATAACCATCAAGTTTGAATGATGGAGAAAAACAAGGAGGAAACCATTAGATACTAACTGTGATTCAGAAGAATAAAGGCAACTAAGTGAAGGCGTAGAAATGGAGAAAACTCTAGGATGTGTGCTTTAATGATGGAATAGCATAAAATGGATTGTAATGTGTGTGGCAATAATTGTAAGGTAACTGGCAAAGTTTCTTAGACACAAATATCAGGCAACGTTAATATCAGCACTGTGAAGAGTGATCCTAGAAAGAAGCACGGAATAATCAGGAGCCTGTTTGGACAGGACAGATGTGGGGCACTGGGACAGGCTGCCCAGTTCTTCAATAGCGTCCTGGTGTGAGCGACCCTGTGAGTCAGGTGTCAGAGCCAGCAAATCCGAGCAGGAATCTGGTAAACAATTCATTATTGAGGCGAAAGATTGATAGCAAGATAAATGAGCTGATGATACAATAGGTAATCGACTAAAACACAGGTAGAAACAAAATAACAAAATCGAGGACTCCCTGCTGGGACAGGGAATAATGAAGAGAGCATCTGTGAATAAAACTGACAAATAGATGATTGTAAAGCTGTTCCTGACCACAGAAGCTGGAAGAATGACAAGAAAAGAAGCAGGCAGAGGTAAGACAAAATAAATGAGTGCTCGCTCACTGCGGTTCAATTTCGCTCAAATAAATGGGGTGCCTGTGTGGCTCAGTCAATGAAGCCTCCAACTCTTGACTTCAGCTCAGGTCATGACCTCCCCTCATGAATCAGGGTCATGATCTCAGTGTCCTGAGATCCAGCCCCCTGTCAGGCTCTCCACTCAGCAGGGAGTCTGCTGGAGATGCTCTCCCTGGCCCTCTGTTCCTCTGACATGTTCTGAATAAATGAATAAGTAAATAAATAAGTCTTTAAAAAAAATTTACCCAAAAAAGTAAACTGTCAAGTGCCAAACTTAACAGATGAGCTTGTGAATTCATAGGCAGCGAATTCCGTGAGCAGTCGAAGCAGAGGCAGAGGGTTTTGCTAGAGCCCCAGTCATTTTATTTATTTATTTATTTTTTTTAAGATTTTATTTATTTGACAGACAGAAATCACAAGCAGGCAAAGAGGCAGGCAGAGAGAGAAAGAGAGTAGGAAGCAGGCTCCCCGCTGAGTGGAGAGCCTGATGCTGGACTCGATCCCACGACCCCGAGATCATGATCTGAACCGAAGGCAGAGGCTTTAACCCACTGAGCCACCCAGGTGCCCCCATTTCATTTTTTTTTACACGCAATGAGAGCAACAGAAAAGTAAAATTTCAAAATGAGATGACAAAATAAGTGTTGGTTGCTATGTGATCAGGTCTTTGTGCTTTATAAGATAGCCAGAATATTCTCTTTTATTTTATGTACTCATATGTAAGAAGGTAAACAGTTCTACTTATTGTCAAATGTGACTGAATTTTTTTAATGAAATAAATTATGCCAATAAAAATACATCTTCTGGAAGAATATTTTATCTTACAGATATCCTTCTGAATTTTTCCTTAAACAACCCTCATATATTTCAGAAACTTGGTATTCTGCTCCTCACCTAAAAATCCTCACTGCAAGGTGATGTGCTCTATTGAATTACAGTCACAGGTAATAGCACAGAAGAAATTAAGAGCTAAAAGCTATCATGACAGTAAGTATCGAGTAAGTAAGTAAGGTTCAAAAATTACTGAATAGTAGTTGAAAATTTAAAGTAAGAACAACTTTCAAAGTGATATCTGGATGTTAGATTCAAGCTAGTATGTCTAATCTTAGATATCTGCTTAAAAGTAGGATGTTTTGTCACTGTTAATTAATTTAAATATTTATTAATTTATTATTAATTAATTAATTTAAAATTATTGGTTAGACATTTATTAATTTAAAGTTATAATTTGCCTAAAAAATGGTATATTTTATGTCACACCCAAATGAAGGGTGTATTAATGAAACCTACCCTCTTATTAACCAGCCACTACATTAAAACAAACAAAACAAAATGCAAAATGACCCTTTCTGTCATATTTGCAGTCAGTCATCTATTTCCAAAATGACTCTATATGGATCTCTAGTCAGGAAAGATTATACACAATGAATTGATAGATTAAGGAACAATAAAGAATAAATATCAGCATAATCTATAAACGGTCAACATAATTAGTGTTTGCAAAAGTACTTACTTCAAAATTGGGCTAATAAGATTTAAGCAAATTACGTTCCTATATAAGTCTGAGTATTTATAAGTAACATAACTAATATGCCCTTAAGGCCCATTGTTAGTTTCATTGGGAAATTATCTTCTCATTGCATCTGTCCAGGCTGAATACAATTCATTTTATCATCCCTCATAACTCACTTCTTATGGTTTTATGGAAGTGTATGTAGTCGTTTCACCTCTGGCTTTACCCTGTGTTCCACTACATCACAAACTCATTTAATGGTGATATTAATGATTTTAGAAATCACTACAAATGGTTGTCAGCATCGTTGTCGTTAACGTCTCAAGGGAACCATACAAGTGAGTTTTATCAGCTTGAGGCTGAGGTATTTGATGAAGTAATAACAAACTCGCTCCGAATTGTCTTTCATTACCCTTTATCTCTCCTAGAGAGAATATAACTTATTCAAATTATAATGGCCTCTGTTATCAATGAGCTTTACTATTTATTTACCTGCATCCAGACATGCAAATGCACATGCATTCTGGTTTTTCAACCTACCTGTAATGAAATTTCTTCACTATCAGAATCATGCACAATCACAAATTACAAACTAGTTTCTAGTATAATTTGCTTAGCATTAAAAAAAAACACACCTACTCATTCTTTTAATATACTATCTTGATTAAAGGAGTAAAATCCAATCATTATGGTTGAAATACAATATATGATAAACAACTTAAAATAAGATCACATTTCAATTAGGAAGTAGTTTTGTTTTTCTCTTAAGCAACATATGAAGTGAAATTGTGCTGAGGCTAACTTAGGTTAAGCAGAGAATTACTAAAGACAGGGACTCCCGCTCAGCACAGATATCTAGGCATCTACTTTTTATTTTAGCTTAGTTATCTTTATTTATGGCAGTAGTCCTTGTATTTGTATGAGCTGGGGAATTTCAAAGCGTCTTCATACTCCCTATCAGCTGCATCTCCTTAAGGGTTGGTAAAGTAGGGTTAAAAAGTTACAATTATGTGTAATTGACAGAGAGAGGAGAGCCAGCAAAGTGCTCTGATAGCCTGTAAAGAGAATCAAGGGAAGAGTGTTCCCTGGGCCATTCCTCTTTCCTCTCTGCCTTGTCTGCTTTTGACCTTGAGAATAACTCTGTCTTCCTTGTCTCTTTTTTTTTTTTTTAAGATTTTATTTATTTATTTGACAGAAATCACAAGTAGGCAGAGAGGCAGGCAGAGAGAGAGGAGGAAGCCGACTCCCCGCTGAGCAGAGAGCCCAATGCGGGGGGGGGGGGGGGGGTCTATCCCAGGACCCTGGGATCATGACCTTAGCTGAAGGCAGAGGCTTTAAACCACTGAGCCACCCAGGCGCTCCTTCCTTGTCTCTTTTAACATATGTTAACAAACAATGCAAAAAAAAAAAAAAAAAGAATCTTACAATGAAGTTAATGATGATTCGTTCTTACAACGAATATTTATTGACTACTGGCTTCTTGCCACACCTGTTCTAGATATGGAGGATGATATAGACAAAAATTTCTACCTTCACTGTGTTCTGTTAAAGGTAATGTGTATAAACGCGATGGAAAAAATAGAAAAATCATGTAAGGTAGAAGGAGACTGCAAGGGATTGCTTTTAATTTTAAAAAGTGTAATGGAATAGGCCTCAATGACATAGTAATAGACTAGAAAGAGATGAGGTAGTAAAACTACCTTATAGAAAAAAATGAGGCATTTGTAACAATAACTTCCAATGGCTTACCATTTTCTATTTTGTGAAATGTTCTTGATATACCATTAGATTCAATCCTCCCAATAACCCTGAGAAGTAAGCAGGACAATTGTGACTATCCCCATCTTGCAGATGAGAAAACACATTTGAAGAAATTAAATGTCACAAACATCCCCTGTATTAATTTTCCGCTTCCAGACCATATTTTAACCCTTTCATTTAATACTCCACAGGCCAATGCATTAGCTTCATTTGAGATTCTTTCAAGCAAATGAAAGTCCCTAAAATTAAAGTGCTAATATTGTAGCAGTCGATGACATCCACAAAGGTAGAATCATGTCTGTTCTATTCATTAATGATGTCATTCCATTAAGTGCATTAGTGCCCAGCTCCACTGGACTTCCTGATTCTCAAATACACCCGTTAATTGTTTTCTGCTTTCTCTGACTATAAGCAGTTAAATACTTGCCCACATAATCTCTTTTTCTATCTTTCCATTATGACATCAGATATTCTTTAAAGTTGTTGTTTTCTCACATTTTCAGATGGTGGACACTATTTTGTCATTTGGGTCTTAACTCTGTCATCCCATTCAGATTATTTATTGTCTATCTACTCCCAACTAGTGTGTGAACTGTCTGTGAGCAGAAACGTTGGCACCGTGATCAGAGTGGTGTTTTAAATTCTCACAACTTGGGGTCCCTGGGTGGCTCAGTGGGTTGGACCTCTGCCTTTGGCTCAGGTCATGATCTCAGGGATCGAGCCCCACATCAGGCTCTCTGCTCAGCAGGGAGTCTGCTTCCCTACCCCACTGCCTGCCTCTCTGCCTACTTGTGATCTCTCTCTGCCAAATAAGTAAATAAAATCTTTAAAAAAATAAAAAAAAAATTCTCAGAACTTTACAAAACACATTGTAAGCACCTTGTATTTGTTGTTCTAGTGAATAAATATTGGCTTTCAAGTCATCTCACAATTCCAAATATGTACTAAGCATCAGTAACTACAGAAAGTATTTGGAACTATAAAAGTAATATGCATTATATCAAGTTCTTTTCTTAGCATTAAATTATTTAAATACCCTTACTATTATCATTTTCAGATCATAAAAGTAAAGCAGAGAGAGCAGGTCTACCAACCGATAACTCTCAGAACCAAGATTTGGGTACATAGTCTTAACCACTCTGCTCTATGAAATTCTTCTTTGACACTATCCCAAAAGATTATGACTATTTCCTGTGAATTATTATGATTATACTTAGTATAATATTACCTTTGAAAGATTATGACTCTTTCCAACACACTGACAAGTCTAGGGAGTGTCATTTGCATGATTGTTACATGAACACACAAAATAATGTGAATAAATTCCCTTGGATTGGGCAGGGAAGGTCATTGTTTTATTTAGAGTACTTTGAATAACTTATATGTTTCTCCCTAATTCTATTGCCTTCTGCTCTTTCTAACTGGTATGTAAATAGTTGTCCACATATTCTATCATTTTTCTATTCACCACTAGAAGAAATGTAAATAAAAGTGTAAATATTTCAAAAAGAATACCTTAGTTCTATAATGTTCATACATAAATATACATTGGAAAGCTTAGATGTGTACCTGGAGGAAGGAGGAATTCTCATCAAAATATCAACGGAAGAGAAAACTAGAAAAATTTCTAAGGTATGCATTTGTCTATGTTTTAAAATTAATAAGGAGAAACTCTTATTTCAACATCATAAATATTAGTTATCAGAGGAATTGGATATTACGGTGCAGGGGGAAGATTTATGCAAGACTTTCCCACATACTATAAAAGGTGGGACTTTCTTCTTTGCCTTAAAGTGAAAGAAAAAACAAGATCAAGAAAGCCACATGAGGATATAGACAACGGCGTGAAGTCTGAACCTTGCACCCATGATACAGTGTTAAGGAAATAGCAGAAGTGAGTAGTGATCTTTTAGTGATCTCTATTAGTTATTCCAAGTGTATTCTGCAGAGCCCATAAGTAGGATATTAATGTTACATGAAACAAGATTTCTATGGCAGATACATTTTTAAGATGCTTGATGAAAGTCAATTAAGTGTTATTTCTGAAAAACTTCTTGGAACTTTTAATGCATCAATGTGACTTCCAAGTATTCAAAAGTCAGTTATGGGTTGCAGGGTTCCCCACATTAACTTGAATTCAAAATCACATTTTCATAAAAAGGAATGATGTGCCTTAGAGTTTACTTGGGATTGCTAATTATTCTGATTAGTAATGATAGGAAAAGCAAATTAGCTCATGTCATTCATCAGTTGATAATGTAAAAAGAGTAGCTAGTGTGGTTGCAATGGGTAGAAGATAAAGGGAGAGCACTTACTTGAACAAGATTTTGGTATAATTATATTGGTAGTTCCTACAGATAAGATTCTCTGTATTCAAATACAGTTTCAATTATATTGCTATCATCTTAGGGAAAAAAGAAAAAACCCTTATAGTAGGTTAAGCTGTAGTTGAAGATTTTATGATTATTTCTAGGTATGTATTTAAAAGGGGTCTTATAGGCCCTGGGTGGCTCAGTCGGTTAAGTGTCTGTCTTCAGTTCGGGTCCTAATCTCAGGGTCCTGGGATTGAGCCCTGCAGAGGGCTCCCTGCTCAGGGGGGATCCTGCTTCTGGCTCCTTAATGCCTCTCCCCACTGCTTGTGCGCTCTCTATTGTGCATGCTCTCTCTTTCTCTCTCTCAAATATAGACCATCAAAAATAATAATAATATATATATATATATATATAATCTTAAACTAAACAAACAAAAGAGGTCTTATTGTACCTAGATAGGTATATTTCTGTCAATCCTGTTTTGAAATAATAGTTTTTTGTATGTAACATTAATTTAAAAGATTTATAAAAAAAAGTCATTAATGCCAGCAAAAAAGATGTGTAGTCTAAGCACTATTTTTCAACATAGGAATTTAGCTTTTTAGACCTGTTATCACTCTAAGAATATATATCATTTTATCATGTAGCAGCTTTTCTCAAATGTAGGTATGGATCTCTAGAAAGAGGAAGCATCTGAAATTCTAATTTTGCGTACTCAATCTATAAGGGAGTAGAAGATGTCAGACTAAAATTTCTTAGGTAGGTCTCTTCCTGTCTCTAGGATTTATGACAATAAAATACTAAGGAGAAAAGTATAACATCTACCTCATAGAATTTTTTGGAGTCTTAGAAAGAAAGAGGATGATACTGAATAAATGAAAGATCAAATGACAAATACAGTAAATAAAAGATCAAATAAATGAAAGATCAAATGAGAACATGGTTACCTCTTACTTTCCACATGGTTCACAAGCAAGCCCACAGGTTTCCTTAAGCTAATGTCCAGAGGAACTATATTAAGGGACCTCTTACCTTAGAATACTGGGTATGACCTCAAAAGTGATTAAAGGTCAATGACAATGCCTAGCAGAATATTAGAGCAGTTTAAGGCAGAAGGGAAAACACGGTGAAAGCGCAGGGAAGCCATAGAACTTGACCAGGTAGTTAGTACAAACATAGTGTTTGGTGAAATTTTTGGAGCTCTTAAACAGGAAATGAACTTCTTATTTAGGAATTTGCAAAATACTTTGCATTGAAGTAAAGCACAAAGAGTGTATATATCATTAGTTTGCAGTGTAATTAATCATCATCAAGAGAACACAGCCACATAATCAACAAGTAGGTAAACATATAGAGCATTATTGATGCCAGGGAACACCCACCGCCCCCCTCGAATCCCTTGAACAACTCTCTTCATTCCAAAAGAAACATTATAGTTTAGTTTGGTTTTTTTTCCCCCTCCTTTTGGGCCTTACCTGAATGGAATCCCATAATATACACTCAATATAAAGAGATTCACCATGTTATGCAATCGTATAGTGACTGTTTTATTTGGACAATTAATAAAAATATTATAATTTGTTATTGTAGATCATAGAAGATAATTCTATAAGTTACCCTAATATTAAGACAAACTTCCATTTGAATAAACCAATGACTTTTTTTTTCTTTATTTCAAATATGGTACTGATAAACAAAGAACTATCGTGAACTCTTTATGCAAAGTTATAAAAATTGAAATCAGTATCACATGAACATAGGAATTTTTTCACTCATATAGGAGTGTAACTATAATGTAAAAGGAATGATTTTCATGTATGGCCCATAGGATTCCTTTTGTTTCTTGGCTATTGGATGATGGAACCTTTTGAAAATCTGGAGATCACCTACATAGATCACTCACTTGAAAGCTTTCCATATTTACATACACAACTTTTTGCATTTAATTTCAGAGCATCAGACCACCTGAAGGAATTTGCAAATCTACAGTGTTCAGATGAAGAATATTAACTTTAAAGTCATACTTTTGCAAACATTTGTTTTTATTTTTCAGAGAGGGAGGGAGGGAGAGAGAGAGAGAGAGAGTGAGGGAGGGGACAGAGGGAAAGAGACAACCCCAAGCAGGCTCCATGCCCAGGGCACGACCCCATGTGGGGCTTGATCCTACAACCCTGAGATCATGACCAGAACCAAAATCAAGGGTCAGAGCTTAACCATCTGAGCCACCCAGGCACTCCTACAAACATTAAAAACAAAAAAACCAACCAACCAATATACAACAACCAAAATACCCCCACAGAGAACTATTGTTTAGAACAATAGCCTCCTTCTTTTGTAGAGAAGAAAATCATGGAGGTTTTTTTCATAACATGTTTTAAAACATAGGAAGTGGGCAGAGCATTTGCCTTTCTGGGGTGATTGAAAATAGGCCACCAAAGCTTAATTAGCCTTGCCTTTGAGTAGTCTCAGATCTATTCTTTTGTTCTACTCTAGTCCAGATACAGTATATTGGGAATATCTCTCTCTCTCTCTCTCTCTCTCTCTCTCATATTCTTCTAATACGTAATTTTTGAAAAGTCTTCAGAAATTCTTAGGTTTTTCTCATTTTATCACTGGGTCATTTTTGTGAAAACAGTGTCAGTCGGGGTCCAGTTATAGCTAACAGAAAGTGCTCTAGCTATTTCATGCAAAATGTTACTTAAAAGAAATACAGTGCTACAGATCAGTGTTTGGGCACCCTTGAATAATTCAAGAATCACACCATAGAAATGACCACTAAACGGCCCATGACAAAAATCAGGAAATGAAAGACAGACACTGCTCCCCTCAATTATGACTTCGTGATCACAAAATGTGAGCTGGAATCTGGAGATCCCAGAACGACCACTTCACCTCTTGGTTTGGGGAACGTAGCGCCTGCTGTGATGCAAGCATGAAGAGGTTCCAGGCTCTGCTCCACCAGCCCTATTCATGGTGGGGCCCTTCTCTTCCCTTAGATTAGCTCCGAATTCAAGACTTACCTGAGCACACATGATCAGTACAACCTAAATTACACCCAGAACGCCTGCTACAAGGTAGTACATAAGGAAGACCACAAGGGAGTAGAACCCATGCTGAGCAAGCTTATTTACCTTTCATGCTGCAGATATATCGATATATCGCGGCATTCAAATGGGGCTTCGACTGTGAGGATGTGATTATCACAACAGCAATAAATCTCCAAAATGAAGTTGCTTTAAAACCATTTTTTTTTTTTTTTAGATTACACTGTTTTTTAGTGTTGGGGCTATTATGTAACAGCAAATAAAGAAAGGATATAGAACTGACACTATGGGGGTGCCTGGGTGGCTTAGTGTGTTAAAGCCTCTGCCTTTGGCTCAGGTCATGATCCCAGGGTCCTGGGATCAAGCCCTGCATCGGGCTCTCTGCTCAGCAGAGCCTGCTTCCTCCTCTCTCTCTGCCTGCTTCTCTGCCTACTTGTGATCTCTGTCTGTCAAATACATAAATAAAATCTTTAAAAAAAAAAAAAAAAAGAACTGACACTATGTGACTGAATCCTATACAGTGAATAACAGACATTGCTCACAATATCTTACTATACTGAAATTATTTTTGCATTAAATATTGCTTGAAATAAGAGAGACTGAAATTGGCTCAGGCTTACCTTTTTTTTTTTGTTTGTTTGTGGCTCTTTAAAATGTGTGTGTGTGTGTGTCCTTCTTGTGGAGGAATTTTTCACTAAAGTAACATTTTTTGTAACAAAATTTGATATGCACATTCCAGGTGTCTAGAGAGACAAGAAAATAGCAAAATATTCTTTACTTTTTCTGATTTAGTTAAACTTTTTCCTTACATGAGTTAGGAGTATTGTATTGTAAATGCTATATACATTTTTTAAAACTTTGTCTCTGTAATGCTCTATAATAGTGATGTCACATATGTATTCCCTGAAAGCAGAGGTCCTATTTTTAATATATAAAAACAAGAGATCAGAATTAAATATATGTATATATGTTTCTCTGAACTTCTGGGTATCTGAGCTAAGTATCGATCTGCTTTTTGAACTCCAAAGAAGGACACTCATATTAGGGTTTTCTGTAATTTATGCATAATAAAAGTAATTTTGGTTAAAATCAATAGTTTGAAAAGTCGTTGTAGCCCAGCATGATACAATACGGGAAAAGTAAGTTAGCTATTCAGGCAGTCATCATATCTCAATTGTAAGGTGTCAGATACCTCCTTATATTCTCCATTCGTGAAAACTAAGATGCTTCTCTCTCTGCCTCTGCCACTCTCACTCTCTTTCTCTCTCTCTGACTCTCATGAATAAATAGATAAACTCTTAAAAAAAAACCAACTAAAAGAAAAACTCTTTGCTATGTTAATACAAAATCTTTTAGGACATTTCCTTATCAAAGTGACCTCTATCCATTTAAGCCTTGTTAGTAGGTGATAATGCTATTTGGTGGATGACCTCACTTAAAATTGAATCCCACCCAAAAAAATTGGAAAAGATTCCATCTTATATAGCCCGAAGCTACACGTGGAAAACCTTTATTAAAGAAAATTACAGACAATAATATAACAAACACAGAAAAAAAAATGTGGAGGTATAATAGAAGTTACATGTGTCTAGATTCTCAATTAGAAAAAAAATACGTTCTACATTTGTCACGATTGTGTCTTCATCTGCACTCCTGCTCCTCCCCAGCTCTGACTTCTAGGGATCCCACAGCCTTGAGCAGGAGGTACCACAGGAGAAGGGCTCTGGCCAGCCAGGCTTGCAGCTGTGTGCCCTTGCTCCCACTCCTGCCCATTTCTGGCCCGTCTCAGCTTGAGAATCTTGTGTGTGTGTGTGTGTTGTGGGAAAGTCAGAAAGCAGCGGACACCCTTTCTTCCCAGTGTCATTGCAATTTCTCTCAATTGCTCCCTATGGTTCTCAAGCAATAGCAGGAATTCCTAGGGGAAGAAATGACAGAAGCCAGGTTGAAACGCAGCCTTTCTAGCGCTGTTGTCCCCGGGGCCAATCACAGCATCTGGAAGCATCAGAACGGCTATTTATCCTTAAATAAAGAAATCCTACCTTCAAAGCTTTTGTAAAAATTACGTAACTGCATATAACATATGTAGAAATGGCAAGCCCCAAGGTGCTCAGAAAGTGGATTCTCCAACCACCTCAGTTCCTTCCAGCCCGGGCCAACTCTCACAGGACTGTGTTTGCTCGCCCCCTAGTGGCAGACACCCGCACTCACATTTGCCTGAATTGCTCCTGCCACTCTTCTTTCTTGCGACAGTGTACCCAGAAGGTCAAAAGGTAAGAGAATATGTCCAAATCAGATACTTTGGAAAACCTAATGCAGACCTTATTGAAACAAAAAGAATACGAATACTAGATGGAATACTCCTCCTAAAAAAGACTATTAAAATGAGAAAATAAGCAGCCTAATTACAGAGAAGGAAGAACACGTGCTGCTTGCCCAGCCTGAATATAATTTTTGGTTCTGCTTGTCACAATTACAAGTTAAGTAGCATTATGTTGTTCATGCTTACTTTACTTCGGAGCTGCTTAAAAGGACCAATTCTTAGTATTTTTTTTTTTTTTTTGGAGACCCATCTGTTGACACTGCCTCCATCTTATAGCCAAACTACAGAAGTTGATGATTACCTCATCAATCCTCTACTTAGAAGTAAGATTGCCAAAAAAAAAAAAAAAAAAAGAAAGAAAGAAAAAAGAAAAAAAAGAAATAAGAGTGCCTTTAAAGAAACATTTGTTTCTATATTGCAAAAATCTCTTGTAATTTCAAATATTGCAAACCAGGTTGGAGATAGATAGATATATATATATATATATATATATATGGCCAGATTTACTTCTTTTAGTGTGTGGTTTTTGTTTTGTTTTGTTTTGTTTTGATTTGTTTTGTTGGTCAAATGTTAAGGGATAGCCACAAGGGGACTTCTTTTTTTTAGTGCATATTAAGTTAACAGTGTGCTGTCTAGATATCCATTCCAGTATGCTCTTATTTTTATTTTTACAAACACCATAAAAACAAAATTTAGAATTGTTCTAGTGGATGCAAATGGACTTGTGATTTCAAAATTGGATTTTACTAGGAAGAGTACATTTTAACCTGATACATTTTTGAGAGATGAAGAGATTTTTCTAACAGCTTTCATGTCTATATTCAAATCTCTCTCTCTCTCTTTTTTAAGAGATTTTATTTATTTGTCAGAGAGAGAGCAAGAACACACAAGCAGAGGGAGCAGCAGGCAGAGGGAGAAGCAGCTTCCCCGTGGAGTAAGGAGCCTGATGTGGGACTTGATCCGAGGACTCTGGGATCATGACCTGAGCCAAAGGCAGACGCTCAACCGACTGAGCCACCCAGGTGTCTTTATATTCGAGTATCTCTTAAATGCTATGAAAAACTCATATAGACTAATTGATCTAATGTTTATTAAATGAAGTTTTCCTAAGAAGCATTTTCTAGGAGAGACTTCATGTTGAAATTTAAGAATTAGTTATTTAGTGGTGACTTTATTCCCATTTTCCACTTTTTTAACTCGGCTTATCTTCATTTGTTGTCTTTTACAGATAAGAAACATTCAGGTCAGCAACATCAATAGGTTTTATTACCAAAAGAAACCCCAGATGTTATCATCACCTATTCTGTCAGTTTAATTAGAAATATTGAAATCTGCTCTATCCCTGTTGAGCTTCAGACTCTAGAAAAAAGCTTGTTTTCCAAGTTCTTCAAATTCTTAGGCAGCTACTACTTTGAAAATTGAATCACTTTTCACATTTTAATGGGACCAGAGAAGAAGCAAAATTTGGGCATTTTTGTTTTCAGACAAATAATCCAGGATGTTTTAGAAAGCAGTGATCACATTTAACATTGATTTTAATCCCACGATCATGGTATTGTAATAGAGGCACAAGCCCCATTTTTTGCCAGCAAAATAGGACAATAAGCTCTCAGTATGTTACAAAATTAAATGGACTGAAAAATTACAGGTGGTTTATTTAAAGAACAATTTTTTTTATTTCAAGATGAAATGATTTGTTTTATCTCATAAGTAATGCTTCAGGGCAGTGACTCTACATAGTTCTTTAGGAACCCAAGCCAATGCCTTCTTTCCCTCTTGAGTGAGAGACTTTCAAGATCCCCTGGGCATCATCATTTCAGTCAACTGGAAAAGGGGGCACACATCAGATCTGGGAGTAGTCCAGCATTTCCACTAGAAATGAGCCAGAGCTCAATCCCATAGCCACAACTACCTGTGGAGGAGAAACTGGGAAATACAGGCTAGTTATGTGCTTGTGAAGAAATATATCTATATTATGGATAGTTACTAGCATTCCCTGCAAAGACTGACTGTCAATAATCAAGTATCCATCCAAACGTTCCTTCCTACATATGGAACAAGCTGAGACTCCTTTCTCAGGGGAAGACCTGAAGTCCTATGTAGCTCAAAGTCTAAAATCACTTGACGATGTATGGATTCTCCATCATGTTCAGAAGCAGATCCTATGGCCAATACCTTGAAAAGACCAGTTGTCTTCTATTCCAGCGTGGAGTAATTGGGTCCTTGATCATTGGGATCACTGAGGAAAGTTGCTTAATTACATCTGAGTACACTCTCTGGTAGAAATTCGCAGAGACCCCAGCTCTTATGGCTAATGGGCTCTTTGTCGTCTTTTCTCTTCTTAGCCACACCCGGACAAGGTATCACTCAGATTTTGCAGCCTGATTCTGATTTATAGAAATTGGGAAGCCCGAATAAGTTTTAAGACTTGAACAAACTAAAAGTGTTTTAGAACACAGTGGTGGTTTCATTGGTATGACTAGTGGGTTTTTTTTCTAAAATTAATTATATTTTCATTCTATTTGTGTCAGTAACACAGAAAAAAAAGTCTTCCCAGATAGTTTCCAACTCTTATTGTTTGGGTTTCTCTTCAGTGTATCTGTTCATATTAATGGCAGCTACCCAGCAACATTGAGTTCATCTAAAGAATAGGTGTAAATGGGAGGGCACACTTTCTATTAATGAATTGTTGAGATACACACACACACACACACACACACATATATGATTTCTTCATTGTATTTCTAATTCTGAGCTATATTTTGAATTAGTGAAGTTGAGAAATAGAAAAATTTTGAATAATTTAAGTGTTATAGAAAAAGGTCAGTTCAAGGGCGCCTGGGTGGCTCAGTCAGTTAAGTGTCTGCCTTCTGCTCAGATCATGATCTCCAGGTCCTTGGATCGAGCCCCATGTTGGTCTTCCTGCTCAGCAGAGTCTGCTGCTCTTGCTCTCTCTCCCTCTGCCCCTCCCCACCGCTCATTCTCTCTCTTAAATAAATAAATAAAATATTTTTAAAAAATGTTCAGTTCTTGGGGCACCTGGGTGGCTCAGTGGGTTAAAGCCTCTGCCTTCGGCTCAGGTCATGATCTCAGGGTCCTGGGATCGAGCCCCGCATCGGGCTCCCTGCTCAGCCAGGAGCCTGCTTCCCCCTCTCTATTTGCCTGCCTCTCTGCCTACTTGTGATCTGTCGGTCAAATAAATAAATGAAGTCTTAAAAAAAAAAAAGTTCAGTTTAAATAAAGCAAAGAATCATGCATACACATGCATATGCAGAATAACTGTTTTATAGGTATTTAATTATGTGCATTTACCCAAGATTATAGAACATCTGATTAATATTCTCTCTAATTACAGTTATATCTTGCTCAATGGCCATATGTATTTCACTCTCTGTACCAGTGTGCACGTGTGTAAATCCAGATCAAGCTGGAGAAGACCAGCACATTTCATTTCAAATATTCTCTAGTTTTCTGTTGCCGTCTTAAACTGGAAAACGAGTAATTTAATGGAATGAAGTCACTGAAGCTACAAGAGTGAAAAATAACCCATTAGTAGGTAAGGAAAAGACTATCAAATAAGGGAAGAATAAGTTGGAAAGCTTTGATAGGCTTGGATCCTAGATAAAATAAGTGGTAAGTTAAGAAATAATCAGCAATATGATATTTCTGATACAATATAATCCTGGCATGGGCACAAAAATAGGGGGTCACAGACAGAGGCTTTGAACTGCATTTTTCAAAACCTTGCTACTGAAACAATCATAACTGTTATACAAGGGTAATAAATCTGCCACAAAAATCTGATACTTCATATCATCTAATGAAATCAGACTGATACTGATTAAAGTGTTTATTATTATTATAAGCAAAGTCTAGGAGGTAGAGAAAGATACTAAGAATCAGGAAAAACAGTATGCAGGTGTGTCGTAGGAGGAGAATAATGAAACCTTGAAGATAAAATTAAAAGTCAAAAGTGGTTCTAAGTGCACCCATGTTCATAGTAGCATTAGTCAGTCACAGGAGCCAAGAGCTGGTAGCAACTTGGATGTCCACTGGCAGATGAATGGATAAAGAAAATATGGTAAATATGTGCAATAGAATATTATTCAGACTTTTAAAAAAGAAGAAAATCCTGCCAGATGCTTCAACATGGATGCACCTGGAGGACATTATGCTAAGTGTAATAAGCTAGTCCCCCCAAAATAGATATTGTATTATTTCACTTACAGGAGGTATCAAAACTAGTCAGACTTCTAGAAACAAAAAGTAGAATGGTGGTGAAGTGGGAGATGGGGAGTTGTTGTTCAATGGGTACTGAGTTTTAGGTTTACAAGATGAAAAATTTCTAAAGATGTGTTGAACAATGTGAACACAGTTAACACTACTAAACAGTACCCTTAAAATAGTTAAGATGTAAATTTTATGTTAATTGTATGTAGTATTTTTTACCACAATTTTCTAAAAAAATGGGCGGAGGGGAGATGGAAATAGATTATGTAATGGGATTCGGTTTTCTTTTGGGGAGATAAAAACATTTTGGAACTAGATAGAGGTGATGGTTGCACAACATGGAGAATGTACATTTTTAATGGTTAAATTTATATTCTGTGACAATCACCTCAACAAATTTTTTTTTTAAGTGACTATGAAGTTTATGGAAAGTAGTAGTGAAGTTCACACATACTTAAGGCAGATTGCTGGCCAGGCAAAATATAATAGCTATAACCATGCTATAACCATTTAATCATCACTCGCTTAAGGTGTAGGTGCTATTATGATCTATATTTTACAGAAGAGGAAAACGAAACTATTTTCCAAGAGCTCGTAGCTCATAGGTCATTCCACTGAGGACTGAAGTGAAACCATCTTCACTAATAGCCTGTCCTCTCTCCTCCTGAGAAAGAAACAGAATGTAGCTGGTCTCCAGAGATGCTTCATTTACTGAAGGAA